TCATTTCAAAGACCCATTCATGGTGGGGGGGGAGGAAGGGGAGACAGATGATTCAGACCTGTAATCCTAGTTACTTAGGAGGCTGAGATCTGAGGATCACAGTTCAAAGTCAGCCCAGGCAGGAGGAGCCTGTGAGACTCTTTTATCTCAAATAAACTACCAAAAAGCCAGAGGTGGATCTTTGGGTCGAGTGGTAAGTGGTAGAGTGCTAACCTTTAGCAAAAGAAGCTCAGGGACCTGGCCCTGAGTTTAAGTCTCAGGATTGGCATAGAAAAAAAAGAAAGAAAGAAACAAAGAAAAAAAGAAGAAGAAAGACACAGTCATCTAAACTTCCTGGGCTCCCAATTGGAGAGGCTACAGGAAGGAAATTTTAGGGCTGCATATTTGCCAAGATTTTAAACTTTCCTTGATTCCTGCTTCTCTTTGCGGAGTGTCATACCTCTTGGAAAAAACACAACAACAACAACAACAACACAACCCTCAGGCCTTCCTGACCAGCACTGATCAGCACCTCCTTTGCTAACGTCCAGCCCAGGCTGCAGCACACTATGCGCATGCGCAACAGAACCCCAGGGAGCCTCAATTCCTTGGAGCTCTATTTAAACCCCTGAGCTGGCCACGGTGGCCTCGGTTCAGTTCTCTGTGGATTAGAGCCATTGAGAGTTTTTCTTAATCAATTACTGGGTTCCACACAATCCTCTTTAGAAACATCTTGCTTAATATGCATCCAGAGACATTCACTCTGACCTGCAAAGTTATAGCTCAGGGACTGGAGCCCCGGGGAGGTTGGAGACAAAAATCTCAGCCTTCTGACCCAGCAACGTCAGTTTAATGATTGCAAATCCGTCATGGCTGCCAAGTCCTGTCTTTCTTCCTTATTATTCAACTGGGAAACTTGCCGGCCAGTGGCTTGGTTTCAAGTAGAAGCTCAGTGTGTTTTGATTCTCCCAGGGGGACACTTCCAGGCTAGGTGGACACAGGTGGGCTGCTGCCCTGCGTGTATTTACCTTCCCCAGGAATGCACTGGAATCTATGCTGCACAGGGAGACCCGGGAAGCTGGTCCGGTTGGGTTTCCAGGGCGCCATTGTATGCCCTTTTAGTTCTACTGATAACTCTTTCTTCCCTCTACCGCAAGGCCTTTGCCAAACAATGGAACACGGGCACTGCCAGAGGAAAGAGACTGAGCATTTATTTCTGGTTAAGTCAGGCCTCTGTCCTGCCTGCACCTTTGGCCTGATTTTGACAAAATCCTGCCAGTGGCGGATGCAATGCATGGGGTGCTGTCTAAACTTTCTGAGGGTGTCAGTTGTAAAAAAGTACTGTCTTACCTTTTGGGCAGCACTTTTGATTTTCCGAAGCGTGTGCTCATGCATTAATTATCTCACTGGAGTTCCTAGTAGGTTGGAAGAAAGTGGAGTGACTTAGTCCTCTTTCACAGCAAAAGATTCTGAAGCTCAGAGCAGAAGGGAAAGTTGGACACTATAGAATGGAAAAATAGGGAACCAGGATAGATCATCTTTGGGTCCAGACACTTTTGGTACTCAAACAGACTAGTATCTTACCAGTAAACCCCATATGCCTTTATTCATTGTAGGGTTGTTGTTGTTGTTGAATGTTGGTCCTGGGGCTTGAACTCAGAGCCTGGGAGCTGTCCATGAGCTTTTTCATTCAAGGCTAGCACTCTACCACTTGAGCAACTGCTCTACTTTCAGCACTTGGGGTGGTTAATGGAAATAAGAGTCTCTCAGAATTTCCTGCCTGGGCTGGCTTTGAACTGCAATCCTCAGATCTGAGCTTCCTATGTAACTAGGTTACAGGCGTGAGCCACCAGCAGTTGGCTGTTTTTGCCAGTCCTGGGGCTTGAACTTAGGGCCTGGGCACTGTCCCTGAGCTTCTTTTCCTCAAGGTAAGCACCACCTGAGCCACAGTGCCACTTCTAGCTTTTTCTGTTTATGTGGTACTGAAGAACTGAACCCAGGGCTTCACGCATGGTAGACAAGCACTCTACCACTAAGCTACATTCCCAGCCCTGCTTTTTTTTTTTTTTTTTTTAAAGCTGACACTTATATCCATGATGTGAAAAGAGACTTGCAGACAGTGTACTAAGCCCCACAAAAAGGCTAGGAAGTATGTTTATATTCTGAACATGACCAGCATTCTGGGAAGATTCTTGGACTCTTTCAAAACTGTTTTGTTTTGGTTTGTTTATAGCAGCTTACAACAAGTAAGATAACACTTAAAAACACAAAGAACAATACTAGTTCCCTGTCTTGGAAGACATACTTGCATCCATACTTTCCAATGACAGCCCTACAAGTTTGCTTCCTTTATAAATCTATTTTCATGGAATGCATGCCTTACAGAATAGAAACGACAGAGTTGAAGCCAAGTCAATCAGGTCTATGTAGTATTCGTGTTTCAATTTTCTGAGATTCTTATATGGTTAGTGGCAGCTACATCCTTGAACTTGAGGAATCATGAGCACTCTTGTGGCATTACATTGCTCTAATTTTCAGAAAACAAAAATCTTAATTCAGGAATTGGAGGCATGGCTTAAGCAGGCCGGGTGCTGGTGGCTCACGTCTGTAATCCTAGCTACTCAGGAGGCTGAGATCTGAGGATCGCAGTTCAAAGCCAGCTTGGGCAAGAAAGTCTGTGAGACTCATCTCCAATTAACGTGGCTCAAAGTGGTAGAGCACTAGCCTAGAGACAAAGAGTGCAGGGACAGCTCCCAGGCCCTGAATTCAAGCCCCACAACACACACACACACACACACTCTCTCTCTCTCTCTGAGTATCACAACCTGAGATCAAGCCTCCCCAAATAAAAAAAAGAAAGAAAGCTGAGTGTCAGTAGTTCCTACCTAAAATCCTAACTACTCAGGAGGCTGAGATCTGAGGATCAAGGTTCAAAGTCAGCCTGGGCAGGAAAATCCATGAAACACTTATCTCCAATCAACCATCAAAAAGCCCAAAGTAGAGCGATGGTTCAAGTGGTAGAGCATCAGGCTTAGCAGAAAAAGGGACAACTGCCAAAGCCCTAAGTTCAAGCCTGAGACTGGCATGAAAAAAAATTAAAATTAAAAAAAGGTAAAATGCATACGACGCTTCCTTCCTAACCCCATCTTTAGAATATACAACTTGGAAACCAGTCCAGGTTATTTATGCTATTACGTAAATAATTTTATTCAATAAATAAAAAGAATGTTATTTAAATAACAATGACAGTGTCTAGAATAGACAGCCAGGAGTTAGCAGCTGCACCGCACCCGGACACCATCAGAGCATGCGCTCTCCAACTTACCATCTCATTCCTAGATGAGCGCTTGGCCCTCGCAAGGGAAGTGTTACTTTATTCACTGTTCTCGCTGCTTTGGTTACTTCAATGCTGAGCCCTCAGATCACAGGCATCAAGTTAGAAAAGTTGGAAGCTTCTAGAACAGCACTGTTTCTAACAGGGTAGCCAGGGGTCCCACGTGGCTCTTGAGATGGGCCCACTGAATCCTAATCAAGGAATGCTGTAAGTAGTGGACGCACAGCAGACTTACCTCACTTCTAAGACTGGAGGACCTGTCCAAGTGGTATTTTGTATAGATTGGGTTCCACAGATAAGAGTTACTGATGGCTTTTTTCTGATTTTCTTTTTCATATGGCTACTAGAGAACTTAAAGGAAGTGGCTTGCACCGCATTTCTGTTGGGCAGAAATCTTGTTTTTGTTCATTCACTGATTCAGTCAACAATACTTAATGTCTTTGTGTGTTGAGGATGGGTGAAGGAACGGACATAGAGCAATGCATGGTCCTGCCTTTGGACACCACACGTATCCACCATGTTGGAAGAAGGGATGAAAACGATGGCCTAGACTAGTTCCAGATATCTAAACACATTTTATTCCTAGTGGATTAGGGATTTTAGAGTGAAAAGTCAGCCCTATGTATCTTAGCAACTGTCATTTTCCCCCTTTCTTTCTTGTGCCAGTTCTGGGGCTTGAACTTAGGGCCCAGGCACTATCCCTGAGTCTCTTTGCTCAAAACTAGTGCTCTACCACGTAAGCCAAAGCTCCACCTCCAGCTTTTTGGTGGTTAATTAGAAATAAGAGTCTCATGGACTTTCCTGTCTAGACTGGCTTTGAACTGTGATCCTCAGATCCCAACCTCTGGAGTAGCCTAGGATTACACGCATGAGCCACTGATGCCTAGTTGTTCCTACTGTTTTAGAACAGAAGTGTTGGTAATGGTAGCTGTCCTGACTCAGAAAAGGTGATCTGTTGTAGGCTCTGTTCTAACCTGGTTTGATGGGTGGCTGTCCACACAGGTGTATGATCTTCCTCATTGAATTGCAAGAGTTTGGGAGTCAGTGGATGTTTCTTGATCAGTGTCTCCTGCAGAGATGGTGCTACATACCCATGGAGTTAAAATGTCACCAGGTGGCTCATACTTTAATGTTTGCTACTTAGGAGGCTGAGATCTGAGAGTCACAGTTCGAAGCCTTCCCAGGCAGACAAATCCAATAGACTCTCATCTCCCATTAACCAGAAAAAAGCTGGAAATGGAGGTGTGGGGCTCAAGAAGTAGAGCACCAGCCTTGAGCAAAAAAGGGAAGCAAGAGTGTAAGCCCCAGCACCAGTACAAAACAAAAATACAAAAACACGTTATGTGCAATCACTTAAGAAAGCAATTAGGAGCATAACATGCTTTATAAACACCTAAAACATGAAAAGTATAGCCTTTAAACTAGTAAGCTTTAGTTAAAAATGTGAATTAGTGTGAATTAATTAATGTGAATTAATGCCTGCCTGATAATATAAGTGTAAAGTTCTGGAATTCCAAATGAAATTGCCTCCCATGACCCTCAAGATTAAAGGTATCACCCTGGATAGCATTGCTTAAGACCCTTCTTCTCTGAAGCTATACTTGGAGCTGTCTGAACAACAGAAGGAAGGACACACATTTTGTTTGCCATTCTTATTCCATCTTTAGTTATCAGTCAAGGTCATTGGTCATACTTAAAAATATATAATTTAATTCTCAAACAAGAACTTTGTTCAGCTTTTTCCTAAAGTACACTGTCAAAAGGAGAGACTTTATAGCAGAAGACTGGACAATGTTCTCACACAAAAGCAGAGGTATTATCTTTTTTTTATCAAAAATACACTTGGTCCCAGAGAGGAGAAAAAGAGGGTGAGGACAGACATAAGGAAAAATGTGACAGGGGGATTGCTTCACTTACAGGAGTGAAGTTCCAGCCATGCTTGACGGGAGTGCCCAGTACCATGTAACTCCTAAACAGTGCTTCCAGTGCGTTCCTCTACAAATGCAAATGATGTCAACACACCACTAATGATAAAGCAAAGCTAACTATACAAGCAGTCCCGCCATAACCGAAGGGCTGAGAAGGTAACATGTTCACTAATAGTCTATTCAATAGTCTCGGAACTCCAACCATCATGATGATTCGGTTTCAGAGGCTTCCCCTTGCAGACTTATTGAAATCTCTCCTAGAATCTGTTTTCCCTTCCTATGAAAAGGGGAGACTAGGAAAGTTGGGTGGACAACTTTTCTCCTTTTCCCTTACACAAGTTGAGTTTACCCTGTGAATTCAAATTCAGACAAGATAGGAAATCATTTCTTCGGTGGCCAAGTTATGACCACTCAGTAGAAACGACTTATGCTTTCTTTTGTCCAACATTGTAAAAAAAAATGCATTTTAATAAATATACAGTCATCCTTGATGACCTGTCTCCCCCCACCCCCAGCATGGCCAAGATTTGGTCAGAGTATATTTGGGCATCATCCATGGTTCCTTGGCCCCCCAGGTTTCTGGGCAGGGAGTATGTGCCGTCTTGGGGACCGCTGGTGTCCTGTGTTTTTAGTACCACCGAGTCCCTCTCAGGTCACAGGCTTCAGTCTCTGTGGGCGAAGGTGACTGTCCTTAGCTGCTTTGTGACAACTGACTTTCACATTTCCTCAAACTAGATCTGTGGAAGGAGTCCCTGAAAGAGAGGCAGAAAGGGAAGGGGAGTAGATTAGCCTTTAAAAGAGAGAGAGAGAGGGAGAAGAAATCACGTACCAGAAAGGGACATGCTCTCATTAAATAAGAGAATAAAGGGATGGTCTATGAGCTCATCACACTGTGTTCAAAGAAACAAAATGCCCAAGGCCGGCTATTGTGGTGGCCCAAGGCCAGCAAGAAAGCAGAAGCTGCCTGAAAGAGGCCAAGGGGAAAGCTGGGGGCAGGCAGGACTCACCCAAACCACACGGGGCTGGGCGGGCTCTTCAATTCTAGGCCCTTCTCTCAACCTGGGAGTTCCCACCGCCCTCCAAGAGCAGCCGGGTCAGCCTCAGTGGACCGCACCGGAGGTCTGACTGGCCTCCTTCTTACCTCTTTTGACTCTCAACTCTGAATATGGGCTTGTAGAGTTCTGGAATTTTCCGCTCTATCATAGGCCTGAGGTTCTCTTTCAGCTTACTATAGTTCTTTCTCAGTTCCTGCTGATACTCCCTCTGGTCGGGCGTAATGAGACGCTTGTTTTTCTCCACAGCTTCGCCACACCTGAGATGGAAGCCATCGGGGAGGGGAAAAGAGAGGGTTTATTTCATCGGAGTTTGAAGTGCTTAGAAATGTGGGGATGGGGCTGGGAAGGTGGCTCAGTGGTAGAGCGCTTGCCTTATATGCATGAGGCCCTGGGTTCGATTCCCCAGCACCACATTAGCAAAAAGAAGAAAAAAGCCGGAAGTGGCGTTGTGGCTCAAGTGGTAGAGTGCTAGCCTTGAGCTGAAGAGCTGAGGGACAGCACCCAGGCCCAGAGTTCAGGCCCCACGACTGGAACCAAAAAGAAAGAAAGAAAGAAAGAAATGTGGGGATGAAGACAGGATGTGTCAACTACCTTGGGATCTAAAATGTCCTCAAGGGCCCTGTGCTAAAAACTTCTTGTCAATTGATGGGCTCTGGGGGAAGTGACTGGATTATAACTCCCATTGATAGACTCATAATTTGATCGTTTGTTAAGCAGTGACACAATTTAGGAGGTAGGACCAAGTTGAAAGGAGTGAATGTCTGTCACTCTGCATCACAGCCCTGTTAGTGAATAACCTCCTCTTCCACCACACACTTCAGCCATCAAGACATTCTGCCTTGCCTTAAACTCAAATCACCAAGAGAGAGTTAAACAGTCCAAGATTGTGATCCTTAAACAAGTCTTTCCTCCTTTAAGCTGGTTTTCTCAGGTTGTTTTTTTTTTCTTTCTTTTTTTTTTTGCCAGTCTCGCTGAGGTTTTGAACTCAGGGCTGGGGCTCTGTCCCTGAGCTTCTTTTGCTCAAAGGCTAGCGCTCTACCACTTGAGCCACAGTGCCACTCCCAGCTTTTTCTGAGTAGTTTATTGGAGATAAGAGTCTCACAGACTTTCCTGGCTAGGCTGGCTTCAAACAGGTGTGAGCCACTAGGAGAGAGGGAGAGGGAGAGGGAGAGGGGGAG